CACGAACTGCCTTATTGCCGTTATGTTCTCCTACCGTCTGGTCACTCGTGCCCTCTAACAGCAGTGTCATTTCCACCCAATCCCCCGGCCCCACAAACATCACCGCTCTTGCCACATGAATAACAAATCCGAATTGAAGTTTCTCATGTGGACCGAGTGTCCTTTCGATTCCGTCAATCTCTCAGGCTCAGTTCATCTGTTCACCAGGCCCCGTCTCTTATGTCACGATTTCAGTCAGTTACTAGGGCACACAGAAGCACATTTGGCCTCGGACACTCACGCGACACACAATACAGGAAGGACTGTTTTGTGTGAGGATAGGTGGGCAAATGATTTCGGATTTCAGCGTGGTCTCTACAGCCTCCCAGTGCGTCTGTGCCTATNAATACATACTCAATGTGTGTGACTACGGGGAAGAGTGACGTAAATACTTTGGAAATTGGACTGTCTACAGTTGAATTCACCGAGTACTGACTGATGCACGTGCCAACGGGAAGCCCGTTCTCGCACCGACCCATCTATAGTTGTAGTTCCCCCCAAATAAAATTAGCATCAGTTTGCCTTTGACCAACTTAATCTTTTCTCACCCCATTCGGAATTCACTCTAAGTGACTGTGTAAGGGACTGTAAGGGAATAAGTGTAAGATCAGATGAAACAGTAGTGGATATGGAGCGATGAACAACAGTTCGATACTCGATTATTTCCAAGTCGGAACGACGCCGGCATGAAAAACAAGCAAAGAAACACTTGGTCAGTCACGTGGATGGTTATAGAGAGATGCTGAAAGTGGTTCCACTTCCTTCATATTTTTATGCAATTAAGCAATTGACTTGCAGGAAAGGAGATTTACTCACCCTGGTCCACCACCACCACCAAAATGGTGCAATGCTGGTGATTTCGAACATGATAAATTATAAAAGGTTTGGTCCAATATTACAATTAGTCCAATGGTTTTCGTTCTATTCTGTTCGTCTCTCCAAATCACAGGGTTTAGTTTGCCTGTTCCACCAACAAACCCACCAGACTTTCACCCTTCTACTGTTCACGGTACTGTCGTAGTGTGTAATAAAAAGACATTCACTGAATTTTGAAACATTCTGTCTTTTTGATCCAATTCGTGAGAACAGAGAGAAGATAACTCGGGCGAGATGTTACCATTTCTTTTCATCTCTTCAGTCGCTTCAACCTAAAGCAATTAGGTATTTACACAAGCAAGTTTTGATAACTACAGTTTTACATTGTACCGACCAAGGAGATTAAAAGAAATGTTAACATTCCGCCGGATTTATCTTACCTTTGTTCTGAAGAATTCATGGAATTGACAATCTATCGAAAATCAGCTCCCGGATCTTTCATGGACTGGATTCATTTTCACCGACAACAACAACATCAGCAACAAACTGCCAATTTCGATGAACCGGTAAAAATGAGCAATGAATATTGAATAGCTAATTTCAACCGGTACTGCTTTTGACTTTTGAAAAGCTAGAGTTTGTCCCCATCCATTCGGGTAGCCATTTGTACTATCTTTTCTCACCATTCATTGATGTGTTTTCGACAGAGTCACTTCAGTACATATAGCCAGATCGATGTGGCTATCACAGATGTACGGTGGCGTCTTATCACAATAGATCTGTCTGGTGTTGTCATTCTTCTTTTTCTTCATTAGTTCCTTATTCATTCCGTTTGCTGGTCCACGACATGCGACAAAATTCAGACATTCGAATTCTTTGTCACATTGTCCTGGCTCGTTCGCATGCACATGGCTGATCTTCAAATGAATGACCTGTCCATTTGCCATCTCATCAGTTGTCCCCGTCGCACGTCACATCACATTGCGTAATCGTGCAATTAGAGCGAATTTCATCCGCATTGTGTCGTGTCGCTAAGCCTATGCGCTTACCCACGCTTGTGTGTGTGTGTTTGCGTGAGCGTGAAACGAAGTGCGCGTGATTGGAACACGTGACCAACTCAAGTCTCCCGTTTGATTGTGACTCAAAAGTCTCCCTGATTATTGATTTCAGTTACAGATGGAAGGGCGTTGTGTGTGTGTGTGCTCGTGTGCCGGCATCCCTGTTTTGCATGTAGGAAGTTAGTGAATGGACAGGACAAACAAAAGCCAAACAGATTTTGACGATTAATGGTGGTCTAATCGCAGCCAACGGTGTGAGTGACCGAGGGGCACAACCGAGACCATCGTCACGAGGCCATCGAGATCACATCGCAACAAAATCGATTATGTCCAATCTTGTGCGTGCAAGCTTGTGCATGACACAATGGTCAGATGCGGATAGTAAGAAACACCTTGTCCCGTAAATATCCATCAAAACTATTCAACAATTGCTTTGATTTAAATAAATAGTACAACTATCACCTCATCGCCGATAACTAAGACTAGTGACATAAAAATTTCACTTTTTCGAAGCATTTTCGAGGTAATTATTTCAAAGGTGAATTCGTCGTATACATAGCAAGCGTGAACCGGAAGATAGGAATCAAGGGACAGCTGTTTCGACCAGGTTGGGTCTCATGAGCAATGCGAATCAATCGACCCAATTGGGGATCGAACCAGGGACATCACAGACAGAATGCAAGCATGCTACCCACTCGACCACCGGGCAGCTGATCAAACAGTTTTGCATTTTCCATTTACGTGATATAGCACAACCCACCTTTGTGAGCTTATTGCAGGCCACAGACGTCGCTCATCTCAGCACTAGTCTCCGGGGTTATGACTCAGTTGGAAACATTCACAACCTGACCTGACTTGTTCCATAGGAGCAATGGAGAATTTGATTAAATTTCAGAGGTTTATTCATCGTGTATATAGCAAATGAGCTCCCGGGTTCGATCCCCATTTGGGTCAATGGATTCGTGCACTACTACGGAGACCCAACCAGGTCGAAACCGCTGTCCAGTGCTTCCTAGCTTTTCAGTTCACGCTTCATTTACCATATACATAACGAATTTCCCCTTTGAAATTGAATCAAATCCTCCATTAGTCACAGGTAATTATTTCACTCGATAAGTACAGACACGAAATGACCGATAACAAACAAATGCTAATCTCATCAGATCCACTCACTGACTCATAACGGGATTACTGACAGCTCCTTGCAATACTACCGTAGTTAAATGCACATGCGCACAATCGCAACAAAAAAACAGCGGTCTAGCCTTGTCTCGTTATCTTTTTGGAAATGCAACAAGATCAAAGTAGCAAGCGTGTTCAATCGGGTCTGTCAATCCGTATCCTGCTCACTCCTTCATTCCATCAACTTATCACGACGCAGCACGGATGTGAGATGTCAATTCAAGTCAAACGGACCGCTCACTGTTTCGGAACAGACACCCCGGAGAGCGTTGGCGCTCAATCCCGTTGACAAATAACTCAGAACTGGATCAGTTCACCACCGGGAATTAGCGAGGACGATGCTGATGACCCAGATAAAAACCGTATGTCTCTAATGATGTCAGTGTTCGGTGTCTCCTGGCAAACTGATCTGTAACTGCGAACAAGAACACAAAATTGACGCGATCATACAAACAAACAGGTGTACAAAAACGTGCATGCATTCATAATACTGATAATGAAGAGTTCTTAACACGTATAGAACACACAGTATCGTGCGGTGAATGAATGCAAAATATTGAGGACGACGAGGAGAAGGAGCAGGAGGGGAATCGGGAATCCGAATCATTGATATGGTCATCTGTTTGGAATGGACGCAAGCGAATTGGAGCTAGAAGATCATGTTTGGCTCTGATCACCTGCTCCCAACACAAGCCAGTAATAGAATAAAAACCCATTATTATTATTATTATTATTATTATTATTATTATTAATGCTCTCAAGCGACACCAGATTTTGTTTATTCGTTTCACTTTCCAATACACTGTATGCACTTCTTTCATGACAGATTTTCACCGAATGTTTCTTTACTATCGTCTCTCCCCATCCCACATATTCCCCACTCCTACCTCCACCACCACCTCACATTGAATATCGATTCACGCAAGCAGCTGTACAACATGAACGAGGACCGCGAAATTCTACACTTCGTCAACAAGTAGCTATCTATTTACAGGAACGAGTGAAACAACAACAACCAGCGGATACGAGCAAACCGGGTGCTTTGAGTGAACATCGAAAATCTTGGACAATGAAACGTCACAATAGTACGGGGGGTTCGACGGAATCGTTTCCGTCCACCTACTATGGGTTTTCCAACGGGAGAATTGGTGAGATCAATCCCGGAGATATGTTCCTTCCGCCGGATATGCCCGGATCCAGATTACAAACACAGTCTGATCTCCCGGTCCCGACACATTTCCCCAATCCGGGATTCGGTTTCGGAGCCTTTGGTAGTCCAATTACCGATCCAAACTGTGCCATGCTGGGAAGCGATCCATTTCAGGGATTGAATCGTCTTCTACAAGCCCAGAAATCCACGGTTAATAATAGATCAACTCATTTACCCACTCCAACACATCTAAACTCGGTACTAGATCAATCTGGAAAGAACGACATAAACATCTCGAGTAATTCGAACCAGGTTGATCTGAACGGGGCTTCGTTCTCCAATACGAGTACATGGGCCAAAGCTCTGGAATTCGCCCGTATTCATTTCCCGCAATTGTTCTCCTTCAGTACGACAAGCCCATCAATCACCACCACCACCACAAGCCCTACCTGCACAGAGGAGGGGCAAATAAAACCGCATGTTGCATCTCTCTTCCCCCCTGGACTATTATCCTCACATTCCAACGGCCCGTTCAGTACCAGCCCATTTAACCCCGGTGTAACTCCTGTTACCACACGTCCTAACCTCACAAGCATTGCAAAGCCTATCATGGATCCGAGCTCAGTGGTACAGTCACCTCATCTGAATTCCACGTTATGTTTACAATCCTATTTGACTCGGTTGATGGAACTGGGATTTAGTCAGACCCCGTGTTTCGGATGGCCGGAGTTCCCAGCATTCCAATCCTTCCTCCCTTCTGTACCACCATTTGTCCCCCAGCCTCTATCACCCAAACAATCGGTGCAGATTGGTTCTCAGCCGTCGTTAGACTCGACGATCACAGCCACCACCACCAGCAGCAGCACCACGCAAACCATGTTCGGGAGGAGTTCAGAACAGAACGGCTCACGAAGTAGATTAGCAGATGGTAAGTTTGGTGTAGAAAAATTAGAACTTGATAGTTCGAAGAGAATTCAACATATGAGATGAAAGCAGGAAGTTGATAAGTGATAAAAAAGGACTATCCTTACTTACTTACTTACTCCAGACGGGCACAGACATTCCAACTAGTTTTCCCAGTAACTGAGTAGCCCTGGCTAAATGATCATCTGTAGCACAACACCCGTCTGTTTGGATGCCGAGGTTACTAGAGAACAGAAATACAACAGTTGTCTGTGCTTATAGATTTATTTTATTTTGCCTATCCTTCCTAGATTGAAATTCTATCGCTCTGATTCAGTGTCCTGTTTCATTTTGTAATATAGTATAACAAAATAACCATATTATCTGATACTATTCACAGCTTCTATCTAATCTGTTCAGTGCAAGATTGTTATTATGGTATTTCACACGCGTCTGAGTTCAGACTATATGCCAAACAGTTCACAGTGCGACCGGGTTACCCAGGTAAAAACAAATGAATTCTCAACCAGAGCCTTCGGCTAGTCGAAGCCTAACCTGCAAGGCAGTGGTGTGGTGTGTGAAAACAGTATGTTGTTGGGGATCGGTGTGCATTTACGCTGTTTATGCGTCCTTGGGATGAGCTTGAACGTCCCAGGTGCCCAATACACCTCAATGCCTGATCCAGCCGGTAACCAATACCATAACCTGCAGGAAGATGTCTGTGTGTATTTCGTACCCCTATTCTTGGTTGGTTTAGAATCAGGGATTTTAGCCAATCAACTTCCCAAGGAGAAATGATAGTGGTTCACAAACCGAGCTGGAGCCAAGGATATTGCTTTCTGTCGTCTCGCATGGGTAGAAAAACACCTATGCCATGTGAGATCTGTGAGTAAAGCTTCTTCAATTGCAACCATTTGAAACGCTTGGTTGCATTGAGGCATTTCACGAGATGTGAAAGCGGAGAGTGACCTGCTTGAAACAACCATTTTACTGCTGTTATAGGCTAAGTACGAGATTGGACACTTTGTAGGCATCCCTTCATTTCAGAACCAGAATCATTTTGATGAGGTTTAAAAAATTCGGTCTGATCAACTCTTCCTCTTCCCGTTCTTTATTCTGCATACAGTGGGTTCAAATCATTGCTTCAGTGGAGCCGAACACAGTGGCAACCTGGCCTCGCTGAATGATCCAATCACTCCATCTGCATTTGCACATCAGCAAATTTACCAATTAATCATGTGGTTGAGTACCAATCGTCCAGACTTGCAACTCGCTCTGTCCAGTAGCGAACTGCGTCTGTCCACGGAACAACTGTCGAGCTTGGTCACTGATCGATGGGACTTGTTGTACTGTTTGACGGCCGTGGAACAGGTGTACACACGTGCTCTAACCTCAGACAGTGCGAATCGATCGGATGCGTACGTGAAACTCACGGAACAATTGCAAACAACATGGGCTCGCCTGATGCTACCGCCTTCGACTAGCTCAACAAATGGCTCCGCGAATACGTCAAATCGTGAGTGTTATGCATGTTTCTCAACTACTGGCATTTGGGGTATGTGTGTGTGACCCTATGCTTTCAACGGAGAACAATAAATGTTAAAAAAACAAGTGTTTCAAATTAAAGTCTTCCACATCAAAAGATTCTATGCATGAAGGAAGCAAGGAGACATTATTATTGACTACACAAAAGTTTTATTCAGGTTAGGCCCTCACACCTAGCGTTCAGATCAAGTTGTGTTCTGTGGAGGCCAGTGCCCACACGAACAAGACTGTTTTCTCATACTACGTTTGCAGGGATGTGCCATGTTATATCGTGTACATATGAAGTGAAATTAGCGAGTAGTAGGTTTCAGTTTTACCTCTGAGATCCCCCGTTTTACTTTATGTTTAGTCACCACTTGATTAACTGTGGATAGAGAGGCTTCAAGAAGCAAACCATTTCGTCTTCTTCAGTACAAACACGCATTGATTACGCAAACGGTACTTTATTCGTCAAACGACACTCCATTAAATTTTGTCTTCTTAAATAAGAGAAGCCAGATTCTTCTTGTATATTGCGCACTATCGAGAATATTCTCGTACTTCTGAGAAGAACTGTCTTTTAGATTTTAGCTACTCACACAATTCTATATCCAGTCATATACTCGGAGAGCGCAAAACCCGAGATTTTTTCTCTCTCGGTGAATCTATTTCGGGTTTGAAAGCTGGAGTCCTGGTCCGGAGGGTGTGTCTGTGTGCTGTCACGGCACCAACAGTTTACCTCGGAATTGACCAGAAATATCACATTAACAGTTAAAGAAACCTTCACTCCCATTAAGAAATTAAAAAAAAATTATTCATGGTTAACATTACAACTCTAAACATGGAACTGCAACAGTGAAACCTATTTGAAGAGTATGTGCTAAATGACTACGAATTGGTGACGAAGCCACATCAGTGTTGAAAAGTGCCTCAAAAAGGAGTTTTAGTACAACTTATCTAAAGTGAGAACAAGTTACCAAATAGCTTCTGCTTAGGAAGCCATACACACTGTCTTCTCGTGGCTGGTGTTTTACCACCAAAGTGGGAGGACGAAAAGCCAATATCCGGGGATATAACGGGTCGGTAAACCCTTGACAGTTCACTTAGGGGAGTTGACTAAGAACCCCGATTCCAAACCTAACCAGGGAAGAAACGTACAAATCGCACTCACCCGCGGTAGTGGTCACCGGCTCGATTGGGCATCGAGGTGTATTGGGTANGGTATCTTGGACGTTTGACCCTGTTCAGTGGGCGTATGAACCGATGAACTGCATTCCGGCCACCAATGGATTGCGGTTCTCATACACAGCCCTGCTGCATTAGGGATCAGGCTTTGGTTAGCCGAAGGCTCCGGGAGTGAACTCTTTAGGAAAATTCATCTGCTTTGGCTGTGGCAACCTAGTGGTGCCGTGCCATCAAGCAAAGCTTATTGTACCATGAGTGATATGTGTATATATATGAATAAATATGATAACAAGTTTATTGCGATTTATTCGGGCAATATAAGCCAATAAGTGAATGGATAACATTCCTTCATTTGCGTGGTACACGCCTTTGTTAACTGCTTGTACAACGCGTACAACTTGCAACTTCATTATATCACTTAAAATGCTTAATAAACCGGTGGTTTATGATAACAGGAATGCTGTCCGGTTCGAGATTTTTGATCGACAAGCAACAATGGCCTTCTATTTCAAGCATCTTTTAAGATACGCATATTGAAATTTGATCAAACTGATCCTTACAGTGGCAATTGGTGATTGCCAACAGATCACCCAAGCAGAAATGTATGGACTGAACAATCACTGAATGGATCGGTGGATCTTTAAGACTGCGTAAAACAAGAAACTATTTATCTAATATTCAAATTTCCCTTTTATTACGCGAAAAGTTAATGCACAATGTGCAAAATGTTTCTTTTTCGTCATACATGACGAGTTTATTTGAACCTTCAAGTGATTTAGCCCTGTTGTGGTTGTATACTATCGAACGGTATTGATTTCGCACCGGCAGTCACGTGATATTAGCAGGTTACTGACAACTCGAACCGAGGCTTATGTATGTTGCAATTTTGGGAGGGCCATCTTGTATGTCCTCGACAGTCCTTAGCCTGTGACAGCCGTTTTCGCGAAAACTTTTCACTTCGTTTCAAACTAAAAAAGGACCTAGTAAAAGACAATATTAGCGATTCTTATTTATAAGTGGTTATACATATATGCCTCTGTACGTTGATGAAATGAAACTTATCCATTCCTAAGAAGTCCATATAACACAAACGAATGAATCAATTAGCCTCAGTTAATGAAACTCGCATGTGTGTGTGCGCGCGCGCTCGACGAAATGAGTTCGATAATGGCTCACCGTTTGGATGTTCATTTGTTCTAGCACCAGATTCAAGCAGCGCATGTGCGGCATGACAGTCAGAGAGTAAAACACTCTGTAAACACGAGTTCACATGTGCAAATGCGTACAAATGAGTTCCCTGACTGAACATTTATTGGTGTATTAGATCTCAATTCGATTTGGAGAAGTTCACAATTGTTCTGCAAGTGTGTAATATTTGCGCGAATTTACTGTACTACATATTTTTACCACAATCGACACTGTAAACTAATGCTGAGCATGCTCTCAAATAGAACAACTGACTCGTGAAAACCCAGTAGACCGGTATATAGTTGACAAGATCCTGATTCGTGGAAGCTGTTTCTCAGTTCCATCCGAAAGCTGATTTTCACAGATCTGATAAATGCATTCTGATCGCTTTTTTTCAGGATGCACGGAGTCACAAACCTTGTCCGCGGATCANNACAACAACAACAATTGAAAGATTCATCTTCACCGATTGAGATGTGTGAAGGTGAGCGGTTGCACGATTTGATCCCGTTTTTATCATTTAACAACTGGATCGCATGATTGCACAACTTGCCATGGATTTTTGTTTCCGCCTTCTTCATCAACACTATTCCTTTTGAGCGAGGTTGATATTGATCGATGAACTGGGTGACAGCAGCCGGAAAATTTCTGCTCTATCATTAGGACCAACCAATCTGGAGGGCACGGAGACAAATCGCCGTAGCTGCCAAAACTCGTATGTGTACAAGTGCTTGCAAAGACCGTAAATGAATTTTTAGATAAAATAGTAAAACTTCGAAGTCGAATCAAAGCGATCAGTCGCTTTGGCAGCTCATTCGTGATGGGTGAATCCAACAATAGACACTATCGTATTCCCATCACTCATTGGGGTTGTACTGGAATATGAGCGTCAAGTAGTGACTAATGGGAATTTCCAAGTCGAATAATTTGACCTTAAAGCTTAAAAAAATACCAATGACGCTGACGTAGATTACCAGCGGAGCTGTATTTTCCGATTCAGTCAAACTTATTGACAAATTACGTAGGCCTTGTGAATAGGAAATATTCCTCTTGCAGAATAGCTGAAAAGTTGTCGCCAATACCTCGTTTAAGTTTCTTTCGATGCAAATAAAGCAAACTAATTTCCCTTGGTTATGGATTTTAATGAAAAGGATCAATGCATTTCGTATTGGAGGATAGTTTACAGAAACACCGTTATTACATCCTCTCAGATGAGTGGGAGATATATTAATTCCAAACTTCCTAATCTCAGTATCGCTAAAGTTGACGGCGAACGGTATAAAATGATTGGAAACAAACAAACTGGGGACATCCGGATCAAACGGTTCTGTCTGTAACTCAACAGTAGGTAATTACTGAGACTGATTGAATGCCTCTTATCTTTAAAGTCAACTCAATACCGATCCTTTGCCGGTTCAATCAGACAGCAGTCACCTTCGTTAACATTGTGAACGTTGCCCGGTACTTTGTTGATAAATTCCCTAATGCGCTGTAGTGTTTTGTCGATTATCACCGAAAAATTGAAAGTTGAAAACTAATAAAATCCTTTTAAAAACTGTCTTAATTTGGTTTTGAATTTCTCTTTAGTCTTTGAAATCCTGCATTTTTCGTCTTGACACTAGATAGAAACAAAGTGTGACTGCACAAAACATATAGCCCAATTGAGAAGCGTGGGATGGGGGGAAGCAAAATTTCCCGTTTAGCTAGACAACCAGCTCCGCTTCAATACCATGCTTAACCTATCGGGGCCTTATGTGGTTCGCCACTCCAAGTCCCGTGAGTCTTAGGTCACCGGTTTCCATCACTAAACAGCAGGTCCTCGTAACTCGTCTGCTGCTCATCACACTTAGGTGTGTAATACAAAAAAGTGTTTGTTCGATGAAAGTTCCTCAGGAATTAAGCGATTTGTGATTGCATTGTTTGAAACTAACACTAGACACTAGTCAAACCATTTATCTCTCGATTTACAGAATCGGTTTACTGAAGCTTGCCAAAACTGGGCTGGTACAATGCGTGTAGACAGTTTGCCTCACTGGTAATGCGTATGCAAATGTATTTGTGCGGCAATGACTCAACTTGCGCAATCGAAGGCGAGAAGGCCTTGTTTATCTCCCCAACACTTGGTGTTTTACAGTTTCAGCATTGCTTGAGAGGCGACTGTTAACTTACGCACTGTACGCTATTCACGGATTTCGATGAGCTTCACATATACGCACTTACACAAGAACACATCTAGATAAGCCTGTACATTCAAAAATTATACGTGAATATTTCTTTGGTGTTACCACGTGTTTTGTTATCTTCGACGGTAACCAACTTGACTCCCAAAGAGCATTTTTATGAAGATATATTTCGAATGGCTCTTACCAATGGTTGATGCATGGCTTCTGTTCGCCGTAGCTCTCAACCGACTAACCGTCAAAACGGATACTGAGAACATGAAGTACATTCCAGGAGACCCGATCTGTTCCGAGCGACTTGCACAGTCATCTGGTATTCAGAACTCGGGGTGAAATTGCGTCGATAACCCATTACACACGTACATCGTCGTCCGCAAAGGGATTTTAGGCATCTGGAAACAACCAACGCATAGTCAAATATATGCGTCGCCCAACTCTTTCAGTGTCACCCACCATACCTCTAATCCTACCTATTTTTTATTCGCATAGTTG